ACTCATGTCAGTCAGAAATGGGTCAAGAAACTTGGTCTAGCTGCTGGAATGAGTGAGCAAAATAACTGCATCTCTGCAGTTTCTTGCAAACTACCACACTGATGTTGAGTCCCATGGATTAGGTCGTAAGACAGTGGGCAGTAAGATGACAGTGGTTTGCCTGAGTTAGTTCCTGGCAGGCTGCTACCACTATATTTATCTGTGCCTCTGCAAGTATGGCAGCTCCAGTTGGCTACGCATCACCGTTCCCAGCCTATGGGGGTTTGAGAAGTGACGGGGGCTAGGATACCACTTCCTGCTGTTCCTATTGGCCAAGAATGGCAGTCCACAGCCAACGGGAGTTGCAATCACTCATGCCTGCAGAGGCCTAGGTAAATTCATCAGTAGCGGCCTACCAAGGGTTAACACTGACTAACCAGATTCAGTCCGTGGGCTGGTATTTGCCCACTGCTGCTCTAAGAGAAGGTCATCAATCACTAAGGGCCAAATTATGGAAGCAGCACACAATCCAAGTTGGGCTGCTGTGCAGTAAACTCCTTCAGTGGAGCAAGTTAAAAGATCCTTCCTCCAGTCTGCAAAGAAAAAAAATAGATTTCCTTAGCAGCTGCAGAGGGGAGATAGTCATCACATGAGTGATGAACACATATAGCTGAAGGTGAGTCTGTGATGATTTGGGTAATCTATGTGCGTGAATTTTCTTTGATTATTAATTCTTTGTCTAGATCTGGGTCATACTCTGTTTTGATTATAAGGCTAATCTGCCTTCACTGATTTCTTTTTTAGTGTCATTTTGGGATGAAATCCCAATGGCTAACAGTGGCTGGTTAACCTTGATGGTCTTCTAGCTAAACATAAGCACCCATGGACAACAAAGGTGGACAAATTAAGTAAACTGGTTCTGCCACATGGGCTATTAGGCCAGTGGGCCGGCCAGTGAGGGACTTTGAATGCTTGACAAAACTGGACTGGCAGAAGGACAGGGGGAGAGGGAAGGTCACATCATAGGGACTGAAACTTTATAAAAAGATCTCTCACTGGCCATGTTACCGGCAAAGAAAAGTGGCCAGAAGCAGAAAGCAAGGCCTAAAGGCTCTGACCTAAGCCCAAAGAGTGCTGCAGCGAATGAGCAAACTGAGGCAGGGAATCATGTACAGCAGGCATTTTATTGTTTTGTCTCAGTTTCTCTCCTGTGCTATTTATATTACAAAGCGAATTTTTTCAGAATCCCTGCTGCAAAGTCTGTATGTTATGAGCTTCAACTCCGATGTGTCCCCAGAGAGGTAAACTGTAAAGCAGAGTGCGGTTTGGGTTGGAAGTCTAGGAAAGGGGACAAATAAGCAACTGGGATGTTGCGACTCACAGGAACCAACACTCATCCTGGTGACATAAGGCAGCTGTACCGTGAAGTCTCACCTCTGGAAAGAGGTGGGAGATGAAGTCTGTGCCTAGGAAGAGTGCCAGAGAATGGGCCATGCAGCAAGTGACAGCACGGGAGCTGCCCCAGACCAAGTGAAGCTTAAAAGCACACTCGTCTAACATGTGGGACACAAATACAGCAGCGTGGTGAGTGTCTAGCAGGGGCAGTTCAGACTTGTCTGTGACAGATCCTATAAGCTGGATCCTTCGTGAAACCTTGCTCTGAATTGTCAACTCCCGCACTGCCAGGAGGATTTGCCTTAGAAGGGAAGAGCATGACCCCTTAATCAGCTATATTCCTGGGAGGATGTGAGGCAGAAGTGCCTGAGGAAAGTAAGAAAAATTGGACGGGGATGGAAAATGAAGGTTTGGCCTACAGAAAAGGAAAAGAAACAGTACAGAACAGTGTTTTTATATTAAGGTTTCTAAGGGGAGGATTACAAACAAGAAAGAATGTATTTAAAAACAAACAAAAACAACTTTCAGCAAAGAACTCAGTGGTTCTTTGCTGAAATTGTTTATACAGAATACGCAAGGCGAGCTAAAGTAGGGCAATGGAAAAAAGCGGTTTGATTTGTTGTGAGAACTTCTCTCCAAAAAGTAAAGGCCTTTCTCATGAGAAAATGGCATTTTCTCTCTCTGCTTCCTCTTCTCATATTGCTTTAAAAACACAAAATGTCTCTGAAAAATGAAGGTAATATGGAAATATATAGGAACTACTATCCCCATTTTTTGCCGTGAATCCCTTTAAATAATTTTGATGTGAACCCAGAGAAATTTTCAGAGGCACAAAATAGTGTGTGTGTGTGTAACATCAGGCAAGAATGCAGAACGCATGTTAATGCATCAAAACAACCTCCCTGAAGCTTTGTAAGCTGGGAAAATCCTTCTGAAATATAATTAACAGTTCCTGTAGGGCTTGCCTATTTCCTCCTGGAACAAGCCCTTCAGAATTGAATAGAAAATGATGATTTCTTTCTAAAGGCTTTTTGAATGGTTAGAATTCAATACAGAATGGCATCTCTGCTATAGAATGGTTAAAAAAACCCAACCCTAAAGAATTATTACTATTTAGTTAATTCTATAGTTTTTTACAATAATTTCTACAGAATACTAAAGTTTTTAATCCTTATCAAATCTTACCGGGCTTTTTCATAATAGCAAAATCACATTTAAATCAGGATAGAGTTGCAGAGAATTTAAGCCAGGGTAGAATTTGGTCTTCTAAATGCAAAGGATGAACTCAAGGGCTGCATCTAGACTGGCATGATTTTGCGCAAAATCTTGCCGCCTGTCTACACTGGCTGCGAGTATTTGCGCAAGAACACTGACTTTGTAATGTACAAAATCAGTGGTTCTTGAGCAAACACTCCGACTATCCTGCTCAGGGATAAGCCCTCTTGTGCAAGTATTCTTGTGAAGAGGGCTAGTGTAGACAGCCACGTCAATTTCTTGCGCAAGAAAGCCCGATGGCTACACTGGCACAGATGCTTTTTCACAAAAGCAAATCTTTTGCGTAAAGACACATGCCAGTATAGATGCTCTCTTGTGCAAATACTTTTAACGGAAAAACTTTTCCGTTAAAAGTATTTGCGCAAAATCATGCCAGTCTAGACGCAGCTAAGTAGTATAACTTGGATTAATGAATAAAGCAGAGCAGAATGGCAGGCATTTTCTCCCAAGATAAGCTGTAGAGGCCCTTGCCACTTGAATCATTTGACACTAGTCTGCAGTTGACCTAAAAGGTGTGTTCTCCATCTTTTAGGGCTACACGCTGCTCTCAGTTAGAACCTCTGCTAGCCTCATGAAGTCATTGGGCTGCACAAGTCAGAATCGGTGCCAAAATTATTTGTTTCTTAACAAAATCTAGTGCTGCTACTTAGGATTTCCATCATGTCCCTCCTCATATACAAAGAGTAAGTGTGTGATTTCAACCTGAATAATATTTAATTTACACCCAGGAAACTAGCAACAAGAAAGAACAAAGGTAAAACTCTCATGAGAGTGCATGGTGCATAAGTCTTTTTTCCATAGGCTGGCACAGCTCTGAAGGCAAAGCTGCTGCTGCCATAGCTCACAAACCAGACTTAGTAATTTTAAAACTGCCATTCACCAGAAACAAAGGCATTACAGTTCCACAGCTAAATGAAGAAAATTTACCATTTATAATCCTTGCATTTGGAATAGGTGACTTTCAACCTTTCCCGAGCACTTTCAGGAGTCTGATTTGTCTTGCGTACACCAAGTTTCACCTCACTTAAAAAACTACTTGTTTATAAAGTCAGATACAAAAATACAAAAGAGTCACAGCACACTGTTACTGAAAAATTGCTTGCTTTCTCATTTTTTACTATCTACTATACACTTGAAAGGGTTTGTCTTTCTTTGACTGAGCTAGTCTGTCTCTTCAGGAACTCCTCCTAAATGGTAAGAGCTAGGAATGCCATATTTGGTATACAGCTTTCTCTTATCATAACTTGAAGTGAGATAAGGGTTTGGTTGTTCAGAGAAGGGGGGGGACTGAAGATCCTCTCCTCCCCCACTCCGTCCCTGATGATTCATACGGGAATGCATAAAACCATACAGAAAAGAGACAGGATCAACAGGCAGGTAAAAGGGGCACTCCTCTCCTGTCCCCCACCCTCATCCAGGATTGCCCCAACCCCAAATCCTCCCCCATTGTACCCTTTAGGGAGGGTGGGGGGAGGCTGCAGCTCCCCCTCCTAATTCATACAGGAACATTGCTGACTGTTCTCCTTTGTCAGGGAGAGAGGGGAAAGTTCACAGTTGCCCCATTTTTCACTCTGCCTGGGGTGTCCAGAGGGCAGACAAACCTGGATGTGCCTCAGCCAGGGGACATGTGCCCCTCTTCCGGCTGTGCCCGCTGGAGTTGCAGCAACCATGGAGAGATGCTTCTCACCTGACCCTAAGCTGCTGTGGCGAGAGAGGGCTAGGGTATCCTATCTCGCTGGGGCAGTCTACATCCCTTCATGGATCCCTTCACGCTCAGCCCCACTTCAGAACAGTGATTTAAATGAAGAAAAATAAAAATGAATTGAGTAAGGACCCGAGCAATACTAGGTAAATCTTCTAGTGTACTTATAAAATAAATCAATTGGAATGTTGTACTCACATTTCAGTGTATAGTATACAGAGCAGTATAAACAACTCATTATATGACATTTTAGTTTGTGCTGAGTTTGCTAGTGCCTTTTTTGCACTCTATTGTCAAACTAGGCAAATATCTAGATGAGTTGATATACTTGCTGGAAAACCAGGCATAGGACATTTATAAATGTTTGTCACTGACAAGTTTTTTACTGTACCAGGTCTTATACTTGGCCCATGCTTGCCAGGTGTAGAGTGCTTTGAATTAAGCTTAAAAGCCTGTGAGAAAGAGGGAGGATTTTACATTATTCCCATGATTCTTTCTGCCTGACTGAAAATTGGTGCTGACAGACCCTGGTGTTTTGTGCATTGACTCTGACAACAAAAAGATTTATACAAAACAAAACTACTGTTTCAATTAGAGGGTACATTTTATTTCATTTCAATGTGCTCCTTGGTGTTTTTCTCACTCAGTAGGATGACTTCCCCTCAGAATATGTCAGCCGTGTGTTGAAGGAGTCAATATCCATCCATGACCATCCATTGCCTATGCCACTCAAAAGCGTGTTCCAGCTGTTGGTCCTGGGCAGCTGCTCCCCTGGCAAGTGGGTGAGGGAACTACACTGCAGCCCCCCAGGTCTGAGGAGGGTGCAAAACCATAAGGAGCAAAGGTGAGGCTGGCAGGGCTGCAAGGAGGCTGAAATGAGGAAGGTGAGGTTGGTGGGACTGGGGGAGCTGTATTGATGGTGGGTTCTAAGCAGATGGAATGAGTTGCTGGGGCATGGAGGTATGACATAAAATTAAATGTCAAAGCATACTATTACATAAACTTGTTTTTTCATTTTCACCATATCATTATAAAATAAATCAATTGCAAGATAAATATTGTGCATACATTTTATATTTAGTCTCCTAACTTCCACTGAACAATAGAAATTAGAAGTCTAGATAGGATTGAGGATGTGGATTCTGAGCTATGCTTTATCACTCTTTAACCAAAAGACATGGGAAACACAACCAACTAACATTATTCATATATGACCCAAAAAGTGCAAGTGAAAGCCTTTGTAAAGGGAGTAGGAGCTAAAAAATTGACTCGTCTACTTTATTTCTTCCAAAAGAAGATCTATATACTCACCTTAGCAAAACGTACCTGCTTTTGAATACATTTTTAAATTGCAAGTTACGGGAAATTAAATAGCATTTCACTTTTTTTTCTAGTGGTAACACCATGATACATTCCAAACAGGCAGACTTTCAAAAAAAATTCAAACAGGAAATTAAATATTCTTAGTAATAATGGTTTTGTAATAAATGCTAGTCGACAATTAAACCAACAGCTAAGGATGGGAAAATCATGCCTCTTAAATAGATCCATATATCAAAACACATATTAAAAATTACAGGCAAATAAAAATGAAGTGTGATGGTTAGTCAATTTGTACCTCTTTGGATTCTTTTTGTGGATGTGGGCATTTTAGGCATTTCATCCCGCCTGAATGGTGCACGTTTGAGCTGCCTTTGGTCTGCTCCATGACATTTTAACAGAACCCTATTTTGTCCCTGCTCTTGTATTTACAGTGACATGTTGAAATGACTGAAAATACCCTAAGTGACTGTGAGACACATATAAGAATTTCCCTGGGTTGGATTTGAATCAGCAATTTAGAGGTGAAAGGCTCCATATCCCATTTCCAATCCCATCAGATCCTCCAGAGCTCCATTTTTTAATTAAAATTTTGCACACAAAAAATCTGGTATGAATAATCAGTATTAAATATTGTTTTAAGGGATAATTACTATAACATGCTGCACTGTGTCCAAAGTATCAGTTAACAAATGTGTGGATTTTTAAAACTAGACAGGACTAGTAATTTAATCTGACCTCCTGTAGATATGTCCCCAAAAATTTCACTCAATATTGAGCCCATCTTGTGTTGGACTATAGAGTCTATCTTCCAGAAAGGCATCCAATTTCAGTTTGAAAATACGAAGCAATGGAGAATCCACTACTTCTTTGATAGTTTGGTCAGTCACCTTCACTATAGTAACACACACGTATTTTCTAAGTATGTACAGAGATATGAATGATATCTATATATTTTAAATACATCAAGGGAAAGTCATCAATGAGCATTGAATCAGGCTCCAAATAGAGTGGACATATTTTGCAAAATCACTGTTGCTTATGTGATAAACCTTAGAGAAAATGCATCTATTAAGTTCCCGGTAAATGAAATACTGCCCTCTGATGGTTCTACAAACAAATGTGTCCTCCTAAAAATTTAAAAAAAAAATCTAATCTGAGTTTTGTTTTTAGCATAGGCTAATAGATGCTTATTCACAATATTTTGGCTTGTATATGGCAGCTCCTACGCTTGTCACCTCAGACACCTTAGTGTGCGTATGTCTGGGGATAAAGGGACCAAGACTGGGATTTCTTGCTGCCCCAGCAATCCCCAGCTGCCCAAAAGGCTGCGGGTTGTTGACATCTGTTTGAGCAATTCTGAGCCTCCTATGCCAAGTTCTGGGCTGGTGGAAAACCAGCCATAGCTTTGGGTGTGCTAATGACTCCTCTGTATTCTTCGACACAGTTGAGAATATTGCCTTTTATTGTCCCCACCAACGAATGAAACTTCACATTACAAAACATAACTCTAGAGGGAAAGACTCAGTGAGGTATTGTCCTTGGAAAAGAAATCTGCCTCTAGGCTTGTTTGTTTGTTTTTTTTTAATGTAAGCCGATACTGGGTCTAGAGTACAATGTGACTTCACAAACCCTGAGCTCACTTACATCCCACATACTGCACAGTTCCTCATGAGTGAAACCATGAAAGAAACCACATCAAGATGTTCAGACCATTGGGTACTCCAAGGAAACATTATTACCCACATTTTTTCTGTCACTTCCTTACTAGAAATAACCAAATTCTGCCTTGGCTAGCTGCTAAAATATATGTAGCTCAAAGACTGTTTAAAATATAACTAGTCATTTTATTCAAAGGTTCATAGATTTGAAGGCCAGAAGGGACCATTAGCTCCTCTAGTCTGATTGCCTCAACGCATAACATTTCACCCACTCATGGAGTGCAATAATTTGTGCTCGACTAAAGCATATTTTCCAGAGAGACATCCAGGCTTGGGATATGTCTCACTCCAAGCTGGGGGTATGATTCTGACTGAGCTTAGTGCACTAAAAATAGAGTGCAACAACAGCATGAGCAGTGAGAGGGCCTAGCCACCACACTGAGTGCCTCAAATGGGCCACCTTGCTCTTCTTACCACTTGCACTGTCACAGCTACATTATTCTTAGTGTGCTAGTTCAACTTCAGCAAGTGTCTCCTCTACCTGGGAATCACGTCCCCAGCTTAAAGTATAGACATATCCCTTATTTGAAGATTTGGAAAGATGGAGGAGCCACACTTTCCTTTGGTAGTTTGTTCCACTGGTTAATTTCCATCAGTGCTTAAAAATTGTTCCTTATTCCTCATTTGAATTTGTCTGGCTTTAATGTTTTGTCTTATTATGCCTTTGCAGACAGGGCATTTCCATTCCTCCACTCTCCTCCCCTAGATTTAGGATCTCACCACAAGTATTGCTTATGAGGCTTTTGAACTGGAATCTAAGCATTTGTTCTATGAAGTGATCTTTCTTGTTATGAGCTGTGAGTATAGTGCATCACAAAGTACTGTGAAATATGTGAGGACTAATTTAGGTACGACTATTCAAGAGAGAGATCTTGGAGTCACTGTGGATAGTTCTCTGAAAACATCCACTCAGTGTGCAGCGGCAGTCAAAAAAGCAAACAGAATGTTAGGAATCATTAAAAAAGGGATAGAGAATAAGACAGAAAGTATCTTATTGCCTCTATATAAAACCATCGTATGCCCACATCTTGAATACTGCATGCAGATGTGGTTGTCACATCTCAAAAAAGATATATTGGCATTAGATAAGGTTCAGAAAAGGGCAACAAAAATGATTAGGGGTATGGAATGGGTCCCATATGAAGAGAGATTAAAAAGACTTGGATTTTTCATCTTAGAAAAAAGGAAACTAAGGGGGATAAAATCATGACTGGTGTGGAAAAAGTGAGTAAGGAAAAGTTCTTTATATATTACCACAATATAACAACTAGAGGTCACCAAATTAAATTAATAGGCAGCAGGTTTAAAACAAATAAAATAAAGTTTTTCTTCACTCATCACACAGTCAACCTGTGGAACTCCTTGCCAGAGGATGTTGTGAAGACTAGGACTTCAACTAGGTTCAAAAAAGAGCTAGATAGATTCATGGAGGTTAGGTCCATCAATGACTATTAGCCAAGATGGGTAGGAATGGTGTCCCTAACCTTCGTTTTATCTAGAAATGGATGACAGGAGAGGGATCACTTGATTATCTGTTGTGTTCCCTCCCTCTGGGGCATTTAGTATTGGCCACTGCCAGCAGACAGGATATTGGACTAGATGGACCTTTGATCTAACCCAGTATGACTGTTCTTATGTTCTTATAAGCTGCTGTTCTCTTGTGGGGTCTGAAAGCAGAGAGAACAGTTACACTAAGAGAGGAACTCCCCTTGCCCTCCATCATTAAGGATGTGACTAGCCCTTTTTAAAAACGTGTGTGCAACATTGTACCAAAGACAAATTAAAATATAACTAGCCATTTTATTCAAAGGTTCATAGATTTGAAGGTCCATAAATAGACTGTACATTTTGTTGGATGCTCTATATGAACCTGAATAATACTGATCACATTTTTAAATGCCTGATGTATGACTAAATTATAACCTTAGAAGGGGCAATTACAGTGAACAAATTGTAACTGAGTGACACAGTGTGTTCCCCCTGGCTTCAGGAAGGAAAGCAGTGTATGACTTTCCTTGGTGAGTAAGATAGTACTGCTTCAGCACAGGCTCAGTTCAGCTGACCAGAGCTCTACAGGAAGAGAAATGCAAGGATTTAAGCATTCATTAACCCTGCCTGTCTCCAATTCAATTTCCAAGTCACTTCCCTTCTCCGCAGCCAGCTTTTGTGGGATTTCCTTGTGCCAGACACCAGACATCCTCCCCTTGAGGTAGCCTAGGAGCTATCTCTTCGTGGCTTCTTTAAGCCATGGCTTCAGATACAATATGGTAAGAAAAATTCATGCTTTCTAATATTACTTCATAGGCAAAAAACACTTACTATGTAAAGATATGATTGTTTCTTGTTGAGGAATCCCATGGCTCAAACCTCTTTGGTGCTCTTCAGAGTGTACATCAAATATGAATCTGACAAAATCGCTAGTCAATTAAGACATAAATTCTAGTTCAGGGAAGAATCATCAAATCTACCATCATTTCAGTGGGAGGATCACTGAACACACTATTCAGGAGGGAACT